TTTACCATGTTTATAATAAAGAAGAATTTTTATGAAACATACATTGTTTTTGGTGGATTCAGTGAATTGGTTCACATTCCAGCTGACTGAGTTGTATTGCTCACCTCTTCTCTCATCTTCATCATCAGTGTTGAGTAGGTCAGTATAAGAAATAACACTGTTGTATGCAGTTTCGCTTTGAATCAATTATGTATTCTTCTAATCTAGTTAAAATTGACTTGTGTTATGCATATTATTTAGGCTACTGGTTACATCACAAATTTGATAAATAACTTTATTATTTACCGTTATTATTATTATGTAAGATGATGCTGCAGGATTGGACTTCATCGACCCCTAGATTAGAAATAGGAAGTGAAGTGGTAGAGCACATTGACCGCTTCACTTACTTGGGAAGTACCATCAGCCCCAACGGGTTGATCTCCGACGAAATCTCAGTACGAATACAGAGGGCTAGTTTCGCATATGCCAGTTTACGCCGTCTCTGGATTAGTAGACGTGATATCCGACTATCCACCAAAAGGCGTGTGTACTGCTCATCAGTCCGCTCCGTCCTCCTTTATGTCTGTGAGACCTCGCCATTGAGAGCGGAAGACATGAAAAGATTAGCTGTCGTTAATCATAGGTGTCTGTGTTCTATCTCCCGTGTGAAGGGGTATAATAAGGTGAGCAATATTGAGGTTAGGCATCGAGTGCTAGGTAAGGAGGCGAAATCAATAGAGGAGACTGTGAAATTACATTGACTGAGATGGTTAGGAGATGTGCTACGTATGCCTAGTCATCGCCTTCCTCGACGAGCAATATTAGCTGATACAGCGTCAGGCTGGAAAAGAGCTAGCGGCGGTCAAACGAAAACATGGCACCAGTCAATGAAATCTACAACAGTTAGTCTAAGCCAGTCACGTAGGAAGGTGTAGACTGGTTTCCTGGTTGGGGTCCTCGGGACGGTAAAAACCAATGGTTGGAAACAATTGGTGACACGGCTCAAAATAGTTCTCAATGGCTGTCGCAGATGCATCCACTCCTTGTGACTTATGATTTCCAATGAAACTGTTTTGTTCTCCGTTATTACTATTCCTTAGTCTCACACATCTGTTTATTGTCTATATTATGCATTTCTTCTACTTTCTTCTCTTTCTTTGTGTGCTACATGGAGTGTGACGACTAGAACTGTAGCACATATGTGCAAAGTTCTATGTCGGAAACCGACCGACCGATTATTATTATTATTCTCTATGGTTCCGAATTGTGCGTTGGTGACACAGCGGTTAGTACGCTCGCCGACCATGCACATGGTCTGGGGTTAGATACCCTGCCACAGACGCACTCCTTCACCTCGCCAAGCCAGTAATAAAGACAGCTGGTACAGAGGAAAGGTTGGGCATGAGGCTAGCAACCCCATCCTGTAAATATAATCACCACTACTACAGAAACTCGAAGCCCTAAGTTCCACTGGAGACGTGAAGGAATAAAACAGAGAAGGTTCCGAGTCTAACATAAGGCTTGAACAACACATCTTCATTTCATCTTCCTTTCTGCAGTCATCTTTAATTGGCTACACGACTGCCCACAGGCTTTCATCCTTTCCTCACACGATCTCCTCCATGGCATCATTGAACGTTTTACTCGTTGTTTTTCAATTGGGGTGTTCCACTTGTAGGTGTGGCGCTTGATGTCACTCAACGGTCTCTCTACTGTGGGTCCGACCCATCTCCACCTTTTTTTCCGGCATATTTCGAAGACAACAGACAATTGAAACAAAGGATATTCTTTTCGATAATTTCCTCTTCCGGCTCTACAATTATATATATACATATATATATTCATGAGATGAGACAGAAGAGAACTATGAACAGACTTTGTTTCTCCCTTACTCAATCACGCAGGATATTGGTCTGTAGTTCGACGATAAACACGCCTAATTGTATGGCCTGCATATATGTATATATATATGATTGTAGAGCCGGAAGAGGAAATTATCGAAAAGAATATTCTTTGCTCAAATTTTCTTTTGTCTTCTAAATGTCTGGATGAATATGTTTCGCTCTTTTTTGAAATCTTCGGGATATTTGTTAGAAAACAGGTTTATATTTTAGTTCGTTGCTAGAGTTTCTTGTTATTTATTCTGTCTGGTTAGCCATCTGATGTTCATTATATTGAGTCAGGAAAAGGTAGTTCTCGATAAAAGCCTTCGTTGGTCTGTTGGAAATATTTTTGTTTTTAGTGAAGCGCTGAGTCTCTGAGTCTCTGCGCTCACTGAAGCTGGTGTCTCCCAAGGTGCTGTACTCTTCCCACTTCTCTTTTCTTTCTTTCTACATGACTTACCATCTTCAAATGACATTAATTTTGTCAAATATGCTGACGACCTGACAGTATCTTTGCCTGTCAAATGTCAAAGTGACTGCACTAAACTAAATGGCTTTCTATCAGAAGTCAGCCAGCGGTCCAAGGAAAACGGTCTCACCTTAAACCCCTCCAAACGCCAAACAGTCAATTTCACCTTTAGGCATAAATCTGACCTAAACAAACTGGTTAGCTCTCACGAGGTGTGCAACATAGATGGCACTGAAATAGAAACCAAGTCGGAAATTAATACCTAGGCGTCATTCTATCTGCTGAACTTTCCTGGTCGTCTCATATCTTGGCGATTTCCAAGAAAATATTCCGTCTTACCTTCTACATCAAGAAGTTCAGACATTCTGGTATAAGTTAACCCTTACTCCTACAATTCGTTAACTCACGCATTCTGCCTATTATTCTCTATTGTTCCCCCTTAGTTTTTCCCAGGCTGCTGAAGAAAGACTTTACCTTAATACGCAGGATGTTAAAGGTTGTCAGCAGGGTAATCAACGTGCCACTTAACCAGCTTGTTAATATTCTGGTTGACAGGCACATGGACTCATGTGAAAAATGAGCCAAGTCCATTTTATCTAACTCACACCACCCTCTTCACTCACCACTCTCCCCTTGCATCTCATCAGGCAAAACCAGAAGCCTATATAGAAAACTAAATGCTCGCACTAGCAAGTACAACAACTCAACCATACCCTACTTAGCTCGTGTTCTGTGCGATAAAGAAAGCATTAGGCGTGACACCTATAATTCATTAAATAGTCAGTAGAACAACTGGATCTCCTCTTTCCAACTCATATCATTTATAGGTACAACATTTTCTTTCTTTCTTTTCCTTTTCTCTCTCTTACGTTTTGCTTCTTTCTTCCGCTTACGCCAGTAAATATGATAGCACCTACTTTCCTAACACCTTCAAACACTGTTCAACTTTGGCTTTGCTACCGACATCCCAATATGTTGTTGTCATAATGAACTGAGATTTCCTTAAACTATGCAGAATTCTATTTATCGATAATGTACTAACTGGATGCAATACAGTAGTAAAAATGCTGAGAATTGCATTCTGTATCACAATTACTGTTTTGGAATAAAGCAAATTATTATTATTAACATAACGAAGCACTGACTGATTTGACATTTTAGTGTTGTAAATCTGAATCTTGTTCTTTATTCCTTAGTGCAGTAGATTTTCAGACTGATTTCAGAATAATAATCGTCTGTTTTACCTTTCTGACGACTAGTCTACTAGTCTGTCTTAAGTTATGAAAAGAGGGGGAAAGATTGAGGGTGGTGGGGCCAGCGACTCGACCTCTGAAAAATCACCCCCAATCGCTACAAGAAATTTATCGCAGAGGAAAATATTAAAGATAAATAAAATCTTAAGTATTGGTTTGTAGGGATTTTGTTTAATTGGTTTGAGGATTTCAGCATGAGCTGACATCGGTTAGAGAACCATTGGAAAACCGGCACCGGAATACTGGACAAACAGCTGTTTGATCCATCAGGAGTCGAACCCACGACCTTCTGGTTACAAGGCGAGCCAGCTTGTAGACCACTAACCCACTGTCAGCTGATCAAATGGCCAGCTCATGAATTCCGACTTCTGCCAATTCATGACCTAACGTGACCAATTAACAATGTCTTCTTCGATGAGTTTCCGCCTCACTATCGACCTGCTGCACCCTACTGGTCAGGGCTTCCCACTAGAACCCCAGGTAACTACTTACCTGAATTGGGCCAGTCGCTAGTGAGCATCGGATTAATTTCCAAGTATTGGTTTGTAGGGATTTTGTCTGATTGGTTGGAGGATTTCATCGTCAGCAGACATCGAACCCCGGCGGTTGCGTACTGCTGTGGAAGAGTCCTAAGCACTAGGACGAAACAGTTGGCTGTCTAGTACTCCCTGGTGCTGGTTTTCCAGTCGTTCTCTAACCGAAATCAGCTCATGATGAAATCCTCCAACCAACAAAAAAATACCTTAGTTGACGTTTTTAATTAACTGTCAAATCATTTGATGTGTCTATTATGACTGAATTAGCATGAGGTTATCTGCAAGACTGATAAACAAGTAGAAGATACATGTAAAGAGATAACCAAGGTAAAGGAATTAACTGTCAGAATTTCTTCTTGTGTATGTAAAAGATGAACGAACTGGCGGAGTAAACCAGAAGTCATCGGAATCCATCTGAAAAAGGCAAACCTTACAGTAATCATCTTTATACGTATGTTAAAACTGACAACCTCTCCCTACCTGTTCCATTTTACAAATTATTATTATTATCATTTTAATTATGTTATTATTCAGCCTAATTTACTTCTAATTGTAATCAACTTTGCTAATTTGATCACTCATTAATTCTTCTTATTCTACAAACTATGCATTATAATCCTCTAAGCATTTGTTTAATATTCTCAAAAATATTTCTGCGCTTTAATTGTTGTGCTAATTGTCTTGGTTAATTATCAATGGCCTGCCTTTTTGACATGTGAATATTGATTGAAATGAGAAATTCCTCCTCCTTTTCAACTTAATGATGATGATGATGATTACAAGATGTATAAATTATTAAAAACTTTGCAAAATTTTCAAGACTAATCATACTCTCTATTATTTTTTTTTCTATATATTACATTATATTACTCAATAGTGACTTCAATTCTACACTGACAAACTTTTCATCTGTTTCACAAACATCTATGCATCACACGAATACTTCAACATTTCTATCTTCTGGTAAGTTCACATCACTTATTCATCAGTGGGTTTCTTTTTAAAAAGAAAATTTAATTCAACTGTGATCTTGTTTTTGTTTCCCCCACTAATAATTGCATTTGAAATCGAAACTGTTGTGTTGTCATGGAAACTAATGACCGAGAAGTTTATGATTTTTATAAAATCGTGGAAAATACCCATCGGAACATTAAATTGAAAAGAACAAGAAGTTCAGCAAAGATATCGACCTTTTCGGCGATTTCATTCTCAAAAGCAACTGTAAAATCCATTATGGATAAGATTTTATTTTGATAAATCACACAGTGTTGTACAGTAATATTAACTGATGACGTTTCGAGCATAAACTATTGCTCATAATCATATTAACTTGATATGATTATGAGTGGCAATAGTTTATGCTCGAAACGTCATCAGTTAATATTACTGTACAACACTGTGTGATTTATCAAAATAAAATCTTATCCATAATGGAGTTATGCTCTACCACAGTGCCCAAGTTTTATACTTATATCAACTGTAAAATCGCATTTATATAGATTAGTTTACATGGATACAATTATTATTTATTTAATTCCACATAGTAACGAAGGTGATAATAATTTTCCACTTGATATGCAAGTTTGAAGGTACGAATATAGATTACAAGGGGCTTAGAGACAAGATTGAATAGGAGTAGAAAACAGTTACAACGTATGCATAATTAATGTTTGATAACTGGAGAAATAATTGTAAAGGTGAATAAAAGGTGATAATTATTTTAAACTTGATATGAATTACAAGAGGCTTAGAGACTCAGGGATAGAACGAATTACAAGCGTGAACAAATTGAGCATGGAAATAAATTGCAATCAAAATTTTCAACTTGAAATGTAAGTTAGGAGGTGTGAATATAGACTGCAAGAGGCATACAAACAAAAAATTACACAGGATTAGAATATAATTGTAAAATGGTTATTCTAAACGGATCGCAAGTGTGATCAGGAAGAGCATGGAAACAAATTTAAAATGACTGATGTTATAACTGAAAAATATGATGAATTGAATGAAGATAAAGAGAGAACAAAGCAAAAACAAAACTGAAGTATAAGGGAACATACCGAACTAGGTCCATGGTAGTTGTAATGGCTGGACTAGTTTCTTTTGAACACATAGCTCCGGCTTTTGGATGCATATGGCGAGAGCTTCCTCAGTACAAAGAAGTTGGAAACACACTGCCTTTGGTAGATTTTTGTTTACTTTGTAAATGACTCTAAATGATGAGTCAGTTGAGATTCTGTGACAGGTATTGACGAAGTGTTCAGTTATTGCGCTTCTGATTGAACCAGCGCCTCCTCTTTGCAACCATGCTGGGTGATGTTCTCTAACACGTTTTGATAAAACCCGCATAGAACGACCTATGTACCTAGCTGCGCAAGAGCAGGTGAACTGATATATGTGCATTGAAGTGGTCATATGTGGAAGTCTGTCCTTCCCGTTGCTCCGAAGTAGTGGGCGGCTAGAGAATGTCACTCTTAGAGTAGCTGCCGGAAAGGTCTTCTTCAGGGAATTGAAGATTCTCCTTTTAAGGATATATGCTGCTAGGTTTCCCCTGAATTCCAGATTCAAATAAAGTGCTTTCTTTTGCACTGTAGTGTGTTCTTCTCTTTTTTGGCCTTGGTTTCATGTTCTTCTCCAAAACAATATGTATTTATATTATATTGACATTTTACTTTGTCTGTGGTCCACTGATAGAATTCTCATCAACTATGTGCATGGTTCAGGGTTTGATTCCCGTCAGACACATTCCTAAGCCTAGTTTAGCTGATAATAAAGGAAGGTTAAGCATGAGACTACCGACCTCACCCCCACCGTTACTGAAACTATAAAGTTCAAGCTTGAAGCTTTTCGCCCCACTAGGAACTCAAAAGAATTAAATAATACTAATAACATTTTACTGGTGTAAAGAAGAAAAGACCAATGAGCCTCGAAGTCAATGTCTATTAGAACAAACGCATTGTAGGTGCACAAATTTGGTACACCTTATCTTGAAGTCTTTATTTGCACATCATTTGCAAATCGGTTGAATATCACCATATTCGATAGCTTTTTGGATTCTAAACAGTGTTGTCACATTCTGCTCACATTTCTCTTCTTCGATTGCTTTTCCCGGTGCCCTGAAACATATTGTTACTTTTCTGAATTCGTTTACTGATATACTACTTATATCTGGTTATAAGTAGCACTCACCACAATAGCCTTAGTATTAATAGTATGAAAATAAAGTATGTTCAGTTAGTATTTTTGGACATATTACCTTCTTTTCATAACTAGTTTAATGAAACAGTGACATCTGTCAGCATGCGATGCGTCTTTTTCAGCGATTCCGTAGTGTGTAGACTGGGGAAAATTTAGATTTTTTTCAATTTGAAATGATATGATCTGTTAAAGTGTATAGTTGAATCGAAACTCGCCGATATTCATCACTTAATTTTTATAATCCAATGAGCACATTGGTTCAAACGTCAGTACATTTACTTTGGTCTTGTCAGTTTGCAACTCCGTGTGTGTATACAGGTTTGGTCACGAACTGAGATCAGTTAGAGAACTATTTAATTCAATCTGAAGTTTCCTGTTGATTGATTGAACCGAGGTGCTCAACCTTTTGGGCGAATGCAGGTGCATCCAGATGACGACTCCTAATTAGGATGAAATGCACATCCTGGATTCGAATGTTAGTCACCATCCACAAAACTACTTCAGTTAGCGAACCATTGGAAAACCAGGGAGTACTGGACAACTGTTTCGTCCTAGTTTGGGACCCTTCAGCAGTACGCACCCACTGGGGTTTGAACTCAGGACCTTCCAGTTACAAGGCGAGCTCGTATACCATTAAGCCACTGAGACCCGATACAATGGCCCATGAATTCTAACTTCTGCCAATTCACGATATAGCGCAACCGCTAGCCAACGTCTTCGGCGAGTATTTGTCCAATGGTTCTCTAACCAATGTCAGCTCATGATGAAATCCTGTAATCAATCAACCAAATCCCTACAAACCAATACTTGAAACTCTTAATAATTTTTAGTTCATAAATAACCTATTTTCGACAGAGATTTCACCGAATTATAATGAAAAATAGTGATACGTTGGAATCCCCTCCAAGTTAAGCACGCTATCAGTAGTTATCGCTGTATGATTACTGAACAGTAAATCAGATGAACTTCGAAAGATGGATCATTAAAATAGCGGCTTATAAATGGTCTAATGGTAATGTGTCTGCCTCATCACCTATGCGGTGTCTTCATAGAATTGTAGGTTCGAACTACTAAATTATTTGAAAGTGTGTGGAAGGGAGGGGAAATCAATGGACGAGGTTGTGAAGCAGTTAGATTGATTGAGATGGCTAGGACATGTGTTACGCATGCATGCCTAGCCATCGCCTTCCTCGACAACGGACAATGTTAGCTGACATAGGATTGATCAGATTGGAAAAGAGTCAGCAGTACTTGAAAGAGAGCACGGCTTCATCGTTCAATGAAATCCACAACAGATGGTTTAAGGCAACCACGTAGGGAGTTTTAGACTTGCTGGCTGGCTGGAATGATAAGAACCAATGGCAGCTGGAGACAATTGATGCTATGGTGGAGATGCATTGACTCTTTGTGGTTGATTTGTCATATTCTTCCAATAAAACTTTTGTTTTTCCATGCTACTAACCTTTTTACCTCCCTCACATATGTATTTACTATCTCTCTCTGTTGAATGTCTCTTTACTCTCTTCTGTTGCTTTGTATGGAACAAGGAGAGAGTGTGGCGAGTTAAAGTGGTGCACATCTGTGCAAACTAGTTCTATGTTGAAAACAGTCAGTCATTTAGTTATTGTCATTTGTTTTTATTTCTTTTATCGATTGTTCTTTTCTCGTTTTTCAGGGAATATGTCTGGTGGTGGGTTGTGTAAAGCAGCTCATAATAATAATAATAAAACCAACAATAGCAACCACTCTGGTAACAATGGTAAAGATTCAGCATTAAATCATAATCCTCGTGTTCATCATTATCAACAGCAACAACATCAACAACAACTTGACTCACATGTAGTCCATCAACTCAGTGGTACTTTGTTACAACGACGATTGTCGTCTGATTCGACAGCAGGTGAATTGAATGATTCTGTTGTCGATTTACTTCTTATCTATTGCTAATCTTTGTGATTTTGTTTTTCTGCCTGGGAAATGTTTTTTTATTTGTAAAGACTACCATTCTGTATAATAGCGCATCTCATGGTAGAATTTTGGATTTAAATGTACTTTTCATCATTTGTTACCGTTAGGTTCAAGGTCATACGAAGCATATCACTGTTTGATTCGCTGCTATCATAACAGCCGATTAGTCTGAATGATCTGTCTAAGTTAGGACTCCAGGTGAACATAGACAAGACGGAGGTTATGAAAAAAACCAACAAACCAACAACAACAGCAGCAACATCCAGCGCCAATCGCCATCAACGGGAAGGATTTGAAGGAGGTTACTTCATTCACTTATCTAGGGAGCATTGTCTCAACTACAGGAGGAACGGACGAGGATGTCAAATCGACAATCGGGAAGGCGAGAAACACATTCATCAACCCGAAACCAATCTGGAAATCTTCCGCTGTCACTCAGCCTGCATCAACAACAAATTGATTCGGATTTTCAATACAAACGTCAAGTCACTTCTTCTATACGGATCAGAAACTTGGCGGCGGGTCACAAAGAATATTTCCAACAGCCTGTTTCAGACCTTTATCAACAACTGTCTTCGTTCTATACTGAAGATCAGATGGATGGAAAGAATCACCAACAAGAAACTATGGGAACAAACAAAGCAAGAACCAGTCGCTCAACAAATATGCATGAGAAAGTGGAGATGGATTGGACACTCACTGAGGAGGCTGCTGGGTGACATTGCGCGTCAGGCCACAGCTCGAGTGGAACCCGAAAGGGAAGCGGCGAGTGGGACGTCCAAGGGTGACATGGAAGAGATCGTGTGAAGAGGAGTTGAAACAGTATGGGCTAACATGGATTCAGGTGAAAAGTACAGCAGAAGACAGAAGCAAGTGGAGACGTACAGTTGAAGCCCTATGTTCCACTAGGAACCCAAGGGAACAATAATAATAATTTGTCTAAGTTACAGGTGGATGAAAGAAGCAATATATACTCAAAGGTTTAATCGTCAATTACACTATATATAATGCACCAAGCGAATAAGCGCACAAATCTGCCCGTGAATCTACCAATCAGATTTTAGGTAAATAATCGATCAGTTATAGCGCAAAATTCGAAATAAAAGTTGATAACATAATAGATTTCATCCGGAAAAGAAGTGTCTAATACTTGCTTCTGAAGGATAATCAATTGGATAATTATCGATACCGTTATAAGATACTGGGAGTTATTCTTACAACATGTTAAAGAGCAGTATCCTGTTTAATGCTTTTGTACTATTTTTCATTTTCTGCCGAAATTCGCCTCATCTCACCAAGTGAACTCGTTCGCTTAGATGACTATGGTTTACCTATGTCCTATCTGTCTTTTTAATTTATAACAAGCAACAAAAGCAAGATTTAATGAATTCATCAAATTTCGGTGAAACTCATCCTCATCTGGGTACTCTACATACAGGGATCTTATAAAATTAACATAAAATGCATTATACGGTTTAATTACATCACTTAAATAAACAATTAGTTATCAGTGAGTGGGCGTCGGTGACTTAGTGGTAGAACACTGGCCAAACGCTCAAGTGGTCTAGGATTCAATCCGCGACCGACTCACTCCTAAATCTCGCTTAGCCAGTAACAAGCCTGGTAAAGAAGGAAGGTTGGGCGTGAGACTAGCAACACCATCCCGTACAAAATAAACACGACTGCCACTGAAACTTCGAAGCTCTAGCTTGAAGCCCTTCGTTCCATTGGGAAAGAAAATAAATAAAAAGATCAGGGAGTGAAAGAACTTGAATGTATCAAGAATTTCGAACTGAACAAGGTTGATAATGATAGTAATGCTAATATTAGTAACAGTAATAATTAGTAATAATAATAATAAAACGAGTTAAGATAGGGTTAATGATGAAAAATAGTTTTAAATGAATCAGAAATAGTAATGATTAGGGGTAGAATAAAAAATAATAATGATATGTAAAACACAACCATGGTGGATTCAGAGTGACTACCATTTCGTTTTGTACACAGAGATCTGGTTTATAAACTTTAATTGCATCACAAGGCTCCTCCACCATTGCAAGCATTTTCCTGTTTGTTTGTCTACTGGCTGACCGCAGTGAATGACTTGACAGTGCGTCAGTATCACTTCCGTAGTATACAAGATACTTTGTTGTTATTGAACTTTTAGGCACTTTCACTTCAGCTGTTTTTAACCACGTTGGCAAATGCTTCATCATGCGAAGGGAAGACAGCCTCCTTTCTTTACGACATATGTTATTTGCTTCCACAAATACACTCATTTATGGTTTATTTTTTGAAGAGTAGTTATTTGAGCTGATATTTTCGCTTAAGTGAGTGTCGGTGTGGATTTATCACTCATTTAACAAGAATTAGTCGCAAGTTTTTCGTTCAGGATGTTCAAAAGGCTTTATATAGCAATAAAGCCTATATATTCGAACAGAAATCAGGCAAAAATTTATCACCTAAAATTTTCAATTAGAAATCACACGTACACAGGCGAGTAAACGCTGTACGAAAACCAAAGGGTAACACTTAGCTTGAAACCAATAATTATTGATTTTCGGGAGTTTATTTTTGGGAATTTGATTTGTTTCAAGTTTTAATCGCGGATTGGCGTCACAGTTAGAGAACCATTGAAAACCACCAGGGAGTACTAGACAACTGTTTCGTCATAATTCGGGACTCATCAGCAGTACCCACCCACCATGGAGGGTTTGGACGTAGAATCTTCAGGTTACGAGACAAACTCGTAGACCACTCACTAGAAACTGACTGAAGGACAAAGCTGTCTTGGGTTCCAGTGAGAAGTTGTGATTAGTGGGGTCTACCCGGTCAGAAGTGAGGACAAATACTCGCCACCGATAACATTGTCTAGTGCCTGTCGTGCTAAAAATCACAAACTGGTAAAAGACTGGGTCTACAAGCTTGCCTTGTAATGGGAAGATCCGGGGTTCGAAATCCGATGGATACGTACTGATGGCGAGTCCCAAACTAGAACGAAATAGCTGCCCACTACTCCATGCTGGTTTTCAATAGTTCTCTAGCTGATATCAATCCGTGATGAGAACTTGAAACAATAATTTTTAGGTTATGGGTCGTATTAAAGACGTCAACACTCAGTCAGTCACTCATGCACTGGAATGAAGATACCCCGCCCCCAGGAATAGCATTCGCGATTTCAATGTTAGCAATCACCGAAATATGACAACTTTAATATTCATATTCGCATATTCATTTACTACTATTTATAGAATAGAATCAACAGTTCTTTGTATTTTTATAGTTACCCTAAACTATAGTGACCCAAAACGAAACTACCTAATTGAACGGATTAATGACCTTGGGCAACCAATGAGATGAGCCCTAAGCATATATGCGAAATTATTTATTCTGTCCACGAATTACATTAGCGAATTTCATCCAAATCTAGTATTTAAGTACTGCTTAGACAACAAACTCATTGGAAGAGAGGAGATGCTTGGATGTGGAGGTGTGATGCATTTTCAAAGATACACCGGCTCCATTGATGAATTTGTGTACCGGTGCGAGGACTACCGAAGCAGAGAAATTAGTTCGAGAAGATATGTCGCTCTATTTTTAGTCTATGGATGCTGTAGCTACTTTCTTCGATAAATCGAAGTTACTGTTAACGAGAATTATGATGATGTGTCACAGCTGGGTCCTGAAAAAATCAGTTACCGTGACGGTATTCGAAACGGAGAATTCACAAGTGTATCCAGTACAGTAGCTTCTCTGTACTGTAGAGATAGAATTTCATGTAAAATGAACAATATAACCCAGATACTCAGTGGCATCTGTGTTCTCTTTTCATGTGGGCGGGACAGTGCTTATAAAAAGGAAATACAATCGCCATAGATTGAGTGCCAATCAACAGTCGGTTCTGAGATTATGTAACACTAGCCTGAGCATAGCATATATCCAGACGATCCTTGGTCGTAGTGCCAATGTTTTATTACCTATCATCCAACATTTAGTCCTACGATTTCGTTAATCCTTTCGATGTGACACACAAATTCCATCGAATGTTTCTGGAGTGATCTCAAATAGAGGATCCGGGTAACACGGAAATTGGTCTCACCTAATTAATGAGGACTCCAATGAGAAATTTGGAGATTTTTTTGCAACATAAACAAGAACGTTACCCTATATAATTATTTTTCAACATTACATTACTTTTATATAAACGGTTTTTTTCAAATTACGCGTTTTTACCTCGGACGCATCTGATTGGACGACAGAGATTTGTCAAGGTCTTCATCAGGTAGTTTCGTTTTGGTTTACTATAATAGTTTAGAGTAACCCTTTTTCTTGATAATAATTTCGTTTCTTTATTCTGTAATTTTTTTTCTTCTTTTCTTTTAACTCTTAGATTCGTCTTCTATAGTTCATGTACAGTCGATGAATTTAGATTCAAATACATTAGCTATATTGAATCAATTCAACATTGGTTAGTCATAGTTTTACTTTGTTAATAGTTTAATAATTTTACTTAAATCTTTCTTTCTGTTTTTTTTTCAAAACAACCACTGGTTTTACATCTGTTGTTTTTACTTTTTTTCATTTCAATACCGCGTTGTTGTTATTATCTGGTTGTCTTTGTTGCTGCTTTGTCAGGCATCTTATCATCTGATTTACCTGTAGAGTTAGTTAACGGTAGATCTCAAGTTGTTCACTTCAATTCAATTCATTTATAACAAAATGTATGTGTCTGTGTATGCGCACACGTGAATGCGTGCGTGCGTGCGTGTCTGCGTCTTTCTTTGTTAAACTGCTGATGAGATTGTATGTCCAATAAAGTGTGATTTCTTTTTTTTTCTACTAATTGTTTGTTTATCTGATATCAAATGGGCGTTTTCATCAATATATATATATATATATATATATATATATATATACGTATATGTATTTATATAATAACCTGAAAATTAGTCATACACATAAAGTAGTTTGGTGTATGGTGACTGACAAGCAGTGGAATCAATCCACCATGATGCACATTTCACCCTGTTTGAGACTCATTATCTGGATGTACCTGCATTCCCCAGTGAGTGAATAATGGTGTTTCCTCCCCCCCCCCCTCCTTCAACTGGGGCTCGAACCCAGTAATCATAGTTTCAAAGGTCAAAGCGTTATTCACTAGACCACTTGGGTCTACGGCGAGGTCACTTTTTGTGCAGTGGGTATCGGTTATTATTTAATTCAGTTTGAACTTTCCCGATGACTCATACGCATATTCGAGATGCCTTTAAGGCACTTTTACAGATCCAATATCGTTTATATTACATGTATATCCATACATATGACTTATTATTGTTCAGTCAACATGTTGTCTCCGTAGGTGGTTAATTTACTTCACTTTAAGTAACCTTATAGGTTAGTTTGATAGATTCTGTTTAATTGTTGTTAAGGTTATCATTTGTACAGCGTGAATGAAATAGCCATCCTGAGTATATAAGTTGTAACGTGACCTATAACTAATGGCTTTGAGTATTCTAGATGGGTAAAATCTCATATATATAAATATATATATGCTCCGTATCGCTGTTGGAATAACGCCCAACTTGTCAGTCTAGGACATGGTGCCTGATGTATCACTGAACGGTTTCCCTAGCGTGTGTCCGATCCATCTCTATTTTTTTTCATTGTCATATTCATTAGGCAATAGGTTCTTAATTCATATGAACCGTGATCATTGGCCGCCGAGTGAGAAGTAGACATATTGTAAAAATTATATTTGAAAAAATCTCAGAGAAATTGAAATGAGTAATTCCAACGTTTCCTGAGTTCAGCAAACTAGTCTGAACTTCTTCAGGGAAATTAATCGGAATTATAGTAACAAAGGTATATTCATTATAATAAAGGTTTTTTGTATTTCCCAATGAATGAAAAACAAAACGACATTGTTTTTACTGACGTTTCGCTAGTTAATGCAACTAATAGCTTTATCAAATTAGCTATATTAAACCAGAATTTACAAAATCTCAGCTTATATATAACAACTTAATCATCGTTCCTCAGCATGGGGTCATTTTTCCGTTGCCAAATTGGCCAATTCGTAAAGATAATAAAACCAGGTGTAGATTATTGTTGGATTTGATAAGTGTGCAAAATTATAAAAGCAGTGTGTGTTTACATGATGAAATTGCTTATCACATTCGTGTTGACTTTGTCACTTCATGGGGGAGGGGGTGTTGTAACCAGGTCAGATTCTGTTTTAGTCCATCATTCCTATTCAGACAATTTGGATTCCATCTGATATGAAGTGTTTCTGATATTAGACGTTCTATGTTATTTCTGACATCATACCTTCACGTGTATTCGAACTTTTGACATTCACCCATATATATCTAGGGCTTCTGCAGTCAGTCTTTATTCATATGAACCAAAACCTTTTTGTAGAACCTTAGTCTTATCAAAGTTTATCTTGTATCCCGTTTGTGTCAAGTGCATTGCAATCACCGATCTAAATTCTAGCTTCTTCAAGTCTTCAGAGGTCTTTGGAACCACCGTTAGACATTGTTTATGCCTCTTCACTCTTATATTTACCTGTCTGGAGGTTTCTTCTACATATACGGCGTCACAATACCCACAATTGATCTGGTACACAAAATTCTGTTGGTTGTCTCCTGCTATTTTATCATCCTAAACCTTCACCAATGATGAGGGTAAAGTGTTGGTTGCACGGAAATATACTCTTAAGACATGACTGTTAAGGATTCGCTTTATCTCATCTGATATTTCTTTGAGGCAAGGAATCACCTAGACAAGAGTAATCCTTTTTTTATGACACATACCTTTGTTTTACTATGATTTCGATTAATTTCCTTGAAGAAGTTCAGACCAGTTTTGCTGAACTCAGGAAACGTTGGAATTACTCATTTCAACTACGCTGTGATTTTACAAATATAATTTTTTATATACGTATTTAGTTGGTTGGTTGGTTGGTTTTCAGAGTGCCTTTTAGCTGATCTTTTCTGGGGAGTAAAACTTCTGAGTTTTATTGATATATAAGTTTATTGTCTTCGTGATTCAAGTTCTTGTTTCAACTTCAATCACTTTTTTTATTATAATTACCATTATTATTGTTATATTAAAAGAGTAAGTTGAATGAAGTTAGTTTTTTGAAATTTTCAAGTACTAACTTACTTATGAGACAGTCATTTGTTATAGTTTCTTTTGTCTGCTTTTGTATCTTTTTTTTAAAAAAAGAATTATTTTATATCGATTTTAACAAAGTATGATTGACAGATTGAAGTGATGATTGTTACCGCGACCGAATTTAATCATTTTGAATTAGTTGTGTCCTCTGAGAAGCTGGTTGATTTAACTGCGAAGCTTTCGTTGCTTTACCATTCTAGGAAACATATTTAGTGGACAGGTTTTAGTAGGAAACTGACTTATTGGAATTCTTCATGAATGATGACATAATTGTATCTCTTGGTAACCACTGTTGGCTGGCTGGCTGGATTCAACATAGAACTTGGCACCGAAGTGCAGCAGTTTGTGTTGCCCCGTTCCAAATAGCTCACAAAGGTAGACAAGAAAATAAGTGAAGAGAATCAATAGAGTTTTGACAAGTATAAGAGTGAAACAGAATGAGTAATGGTAGAAAAGAATATGAAAGATTACAGAGACTGAATACATCTCCATTGACAACGATTTTGAGCCATGTTGCCTATTGTCTCCAGCCATTGGTTCTTAGAGTCCCGAGGGCCCCAACCCGGAAGTCTGCATCTGCCTACCTGACTCAGTTTAACTGTCAGGGATTTCATGGATTGATGAGGCCATGTTTTTGTTTGGCCATCACTTACTCTTTTCCAACCTGCACCTATATCAGCTAGTAATGCCCGTCCGTCGGGGGAGGCGATGGTTAGGCATGCGCAGCACGTGACCTAGCTATCTCAATTTATGTAACTTTATAGCCTCGTCGATTGATTTTCCCTCTTTGCCCAACACTCTACGCCTGACGTCAACATTACTTACCTTATTGTGCCACCTAACGTGAGAAGGAGATCGTAGACATCTATGATCGAAAACAATCAACCTTTTCATGTCTTCAACCCGTATTGGCCATGTTTCAGAGCCATAGAGAAGGACGGAGCGAACGGCTGAGCAGTACACACGTCCCTTGATTCATAGCCGGATGTCACGCCTACGCCAGAGATGGTGTAAGTTAGCGAAAGCAGTCCGAGCTTTTTGGATCCGTGCTGATATTTCGTCACCAATCAATCCGTTGGTGCTGATACAACTTCCCAAATAGGTGAAGTGGTCAACATGTTCTATCACTTCACTCCCTATCACTAAGCTAAGGGTTGGCAACCACTGTCGTGACTGGTTGTTAATTTACGTCTCTATTAATCATATTTTCATTGACTCGGAGTTCGAACATTCTTGTTGCGTGATTTACTTTTTATTAGCTGGTAAATTTTGACTATAATAATGTATTTGTTAAGAGCTGACTGATTCATTTGAGTACTGTCAGCTTTCTAGAAATTCCCTGGTTGCACTATTTTTGGTGTTTCCTCTATTTAAAATTCCAACATTATCGCAATCACATTGGTGTCCACAATTATCCACATGCATTGATATGAAACAGGAATATATATATATATATATATATATATATATATATATATATATATATTGTCCTTTTAGAGCCCATTTGTGTTGTTGGATTCGTATTCGAAGGGTACGCCCACTTTGCAGTTCATGCATGCGATTTATTTTGTTAATGGTATTAATTTTAGCTTCTTCTTTTTCTGTTGCGTCTCCTGCTCTGCACAATATCAAGGGAATTTTCTTATGGTCTATAATGAGGGTTTTTTGTTGGTGTTGTGACTCGAAACGAAACACTTTTTGATGAAATTGTGAGGATATGCATTCTTTTTGCATTCCTTACAACACCGGAGCCTAACAGTGTGTTTGGCTTCTTTTAAACAATGTCTGCACACAGTTTCTTTTGTGGGTAATTGGGTTATTACAACTTATAATTGAGTATTGAATTTAATAATGTCGTTGTAAACAAGAAATGCGCATATATTAACATTATAAGTCTAAAACTACAACAAATATGTAGGAGAAAATGGTGATTGATTGGGCATACACTAAGGTGTCCGTCGGATGATATCACGCACCAGGCCATCGCTCCAATGGAATCCAAATAGAAAGCGATGAGTAGGTCGTCCTAGGGTGACACGGAGGAGATCGTGTGGGGCGAGGGGGAGATGAGAGATCATGAGCAATCGTAAACCAAGCTGAAGAGAACAGCAGAAAATAGAATAAAGTGGAGATGTTTTTGATTGGACGCTAGTCAGTAACTAGTGTAATGTATTTAGTCCTATATTCGGTGCAGACTGAATTCTATCAGTCATGTTTGCAATGTGGCCGCCATGCTATACACATATAATACCAACAATTCACAGTGCACCGTGATAGCGAGCCACCTAGTGGCATGGTGGCCACATTGCAAACATGACTGATAGAATTCAGTCTGCACCGAAGATAGGACTAAATACATTACACTAGTTACTGACTAGTGTCCAATGAAAATATCAAATGCAGTCCTACAGGAGGTCAATCGCGAGCCTGAATAGCTCAGTGGTAACGTCTCTGACTCCAGGCGGCACTGGGTGACGACGGTTCGTATCTCAGAAAGAACATGAGTTCCTTCGAGTTTGCGGATACACCTAGCTGACTGGTGAGTGCCAAATAGCACGAAACCTAGGTCCAAGGCTTCCTGCCGATTGCCTCCAACCATATAAATGGAGATGTGTTGTTGAAGCCCGATGTTCCACACGAAACCCAAAGGAATAATAATATTATTATAATAAGTCTAAAACTATCATATGGATGTGGAATAAGGTTAGGATAAAAGCTATCACAAGGTTTTTTTTGGCGCATAGCTTTTGTAAACGCCAGAACAAATATATATATACCAGATGTTGATAAAACACATTTAATAATGACAAAGAGAGTAATTGATGGTAGGACCTAAGAGTAACATTAGTCAGGAATGATGTAAGTGGCTAAATTAACTCACAGTCAAAAGGATTGACTATTCATGGGAAAATTAGAACACCATGATTGGAAAGAAAAGGACTGATTTCAATAGATTTTTGTGGATAGAAACAAAGTTTAACTAGAAAGGGTATAACAGTGTTCTAGGTTACTTAACTAAAGAAAATATCAAATAAATTATTATTATATTTTAATACTATTAAAATATAATTATTATTTATTTGATCTATTCCACAATGCCCAAACTTTATATTATATATTATTATTGTTCCCTTGGGTTCCTAGTGGAACATAGGGCTTCAACTGCACGTCTCCACTTGCTTCTGTCTTCTGTTGTACTTTTCACCTGCATCCATGTTAGTCCATACTGTTTCAACTCCTCTTCACACGATCTCCTCCATGTCACCCTTGGACGTCCCACTCGCCGCTTCCCTTTCGGGTTCCACTCGAGCACTGGCCTGATGCGCGATGTCACCCAACGGCCTCCTCAGCGAGTGTCCAATCCATCTTCACTTTCTCCTGCATATTTGTTGAGTGATTGGTTCTTGTTTTGTTTGTTCCCATAGTTTCTTGTTGGTGATTCTTTCCGGCCATCTGATCTTCAGTATAGAGCCAGAGAAGACAGTTGTTGATAAAGGTCTGCAACAGGCTGTTGGAAATATTCTTTGTGACCCATTGGCCAAGTTTCTGATCCGTATAGAAGAACTGACTGACTTGACGTTCGTATTGAAAATCCGAATCACTTTGTTGTTGATGCAGGCTGAGTGACAGGGAAGATTTCCAGATTGGTTTCAGGTTGATGAATGTGTTTCTCGCCTTCCCGATTCTCGCTCGATTTGACATCCTCGTCCGTTCCTCCTGTAGTTGAGACAATGCTCCCAAGATAAGTGAATGAAGTAACCTCTTTCAAATGCCTCCCGTCGATAGTGATTGGCGTTGGATGTTGCTGCTGTTGTTGTTGTTGGTTGGTTATTTTCATAACCTCCGTCTTGTCTATGTTCACCTGGAGTCCTGTCTTTGCTGCTTCTTCTACCAGTTTGTCGGTTTTCGCCCAAACTTTATACAGACATTAAATAGCGGAAACACCAGAAATGTCAGGGAATTTCTAGAAACCTGGTAATAGTACTGAAATGAATCAGCTAGAGCTTAACAAACATATTACTATAGACGAAATTTACCAGCTAATAAAAAGTAAATCACGCGACAAGAAATTTCGAGTTCCAAGTCAATAAAAATGATCAGTAATTATTATTATTCTCTTGGGTTCCGAGTGGAACATAGCGCTTCAACAACACATCTCCACTTCATTCTATTCTTTGCTATCCTCTTCAACTGGGCCCACGATTGCCCTAAATCACTCGTCTCCTCGCCATCACACGGCCTCCTCCATGTTACCCTTGCACCGATGATTCACTCGTTGCTTTGCATTTGGATTCCACTTGAGTGATGGCCTGCATTGCGCGCGATGTTATTCAACAGCCTCCTCAACGTAAGCCCGATCAACCCATCTCTATTCTCTCACACATATTTGTTGAGCGATCGGATCTTGGTTGGTTTGTTCCACTGCAGAGTTTCTTGTTACTAATTCTCTCTGGTCACCCATTTCATCTTCAATATGGAGCCAGCGAAGACGGGAGCTGTTAATAAAAGTCTCTGACTTGTTACAAATCCTTTTTGGTGACACACTGGCCAAGTTTCTGACCGAAATGGAAGCACTGACTACTGACTGACTTAACATTTGTGTTGAGAGTCCGAATTTTGTTTTTTGTGCTGGAGAGTGCAGAAGATTTCCAAAATGATTTCAGAGTGGTCGTTTGTATTGTATTACCGTTTGTGCCCTTGAATTCTTCATCCATTTCGTGTGTCTGTAGTTGAAACCGTGCCTCCCAGATAAGTGAAGAAGGCAACCTTTGTCAAATCTCTCCCGTTGATGGTAATTAGTACTGGTTGTTGTTGTTGCTGCTGCTGCCGCTGTGGTTCGTTGGTTATCTTCATCACCTCCGTCTTCTCTGTGTTCACATGCAGTCCCGTTTTCTCCACCTCTTCAACCAGTTTGTTGGTTTTCTTCTGTAAATCTTCCAGTTTGTGTCACACGCACGAAATCCCGATCTTCTGGAGTCTTATCGGAGGTCCTGTGTATTCCTGTTTTCTCGTTCCCCACACAGTCTGTCGCATCATTCAGATATCAGTAGAGACGTAAATCAACAACCAGTTATGACAGTGGTTACCAAGAGATACAATTACATCATCAGTCATGGAGAGAATTCAAATAAGACATATTCATACTAAAACCCGTTCACTGAATATGTTGTCTAGAATGGTAAAGCAACGGAAACTTTGCAATTAAATCAACCAGCTCTTCTCAAAGGACACAACTTATTCAATAGGAAATGTTTTTTATAAAATAGCCAAGAAAGGGAGGGAAGGCGTTGGGTTGCTTTTAATTGTTTGGTGGCAATCGCCTTTAGACAGCACACAACATGGCCAGTGTCCAATAGCCAAATTTATATTTAACATCTGATATGGTTAAAGTACTCGTCGAACCACTTACATAATACAAATTCATATCAGACCAACTAATTGAGGGTATTCGAATATATTGAGATGAGAGTTTGGAAAATTTTGTTTTGCTCTATAACTTATACGTACTCACTTATTGAGGATAGCAGAACTGATCGATAACAGGCCAAATGACGACAAATACATGAGTGTATCAGAGTCCAGTCAAATCCTTGTTATCTATTCCTTTTTTCACCCGATCAATCAAGCTATAATAAGAGTATCAGCTTCATTTCCTCATAAAGGAGACTGATGTCGAAATGTTTTTCGGATTAAAAAAAACAACTCAAGAGCCAGAAAATTATTTTAAAAAACACTTCACTGAAGTATCTACAAGGTGAACTGATGCTATTCAATGATTTTACTCCATTGACTTCACTCAAAGTGAATATGATTAATACTCAAGAACATGTATTGATTTTCGTAAATTTGAACTTACTCCCTATTATGGAATTAAAATATATCATTGATATTCAAGTGCTGGGTTGCAGGGATTTGATTTGATTGGTTACAGGATTTCATCATGAGGTGACATCTGTTAGAGAACCATTGGAAAACCAGTACTGGAGTAGTGGACAGCCAGCTGTTTCGTCCTAGTGCTTGGGACTTCTCATCAGTACGCACCCACCGACAGGATTTGAACCTAGAAGAGGACCTCCCGATTACAAGATGAGCTTGTAGACCATTCAGTAACCACTGGGACCCAAACCGATCCAATGGTCAGCCCATGAATTCTAAATTCTGCTAATTCACGCACAATATAGCACAACTGGCACTAGCCAATGTCATCGGCGGTGGCGAGTATTTGTCCTCACACCCGACCTGTTGTAACCTACTGGTCCCAAACTAAGACAAAATAGCTGTCCAGTACTCCACGGTGGTTTTCCTATGGTGTCAGCTCTAACTGATGTCACCTCATGATGAAATCCGATAACCGATAAAATATCATTGCTTTTGTTCTTGTTTATATATCTATATATATTGTATTGTTTTGTTAAAATTTTCGTATATGGAAACCATTTCATTTATGTTTTTACTACAGTTGATGCTACTCAAATCCCTGGTTATCATTCTATTCCACCTGGTCTACCAGACTGGAAAACACATAGATTAGAGAGAAAGAATCGTGAAGCGGCTAGTTTGTATGCAGTAAGTATATTTGATATACATGCACACATACATACCTTCTTATAGTTGTTATATATGTGTATTCTTTAACTAACTAGTGTATGTGTGATAAAAAAACGAGATGAGCAGCGCAATGGAGCAAACAGTTAAATTTTTTATCAAAGCTAAAGCTTTAGATCAGATCAACAGTATAGTTTCATCGTTCAGTCTATAAACCATTGAATGCAGTAAGGTCTATTGTTCGAATTCTTTTACAAGTTGATTATTCTTTCAATTGCTTTGAGTCAAATAAATATTATTTAAGTTAGAGTATTAGTGTTCATCTACACTGAATATATATTCTATCTCAGTTACCTAATAAACTGCTGACTCCAGCCAAGAGTCGCCACGATAACAGACATAATTATTGACTCCATTGAAGTAGAAATACTAATTAATTCATTTTATGGTTTATTTTGTGAAATAGCAGTTGTAAGTGGAATATATATATATATATCAAGGCTAGTCATCTTTGATCATAGGTATGTTTACCTGCTATCTCCTGTGTTAAGTAGTAGAATATAGTGAGTAGTAGTGACCTTAGGAGTCTGTCTGTCTGTTTTCGAAATAGAACTTTGCAAATATGTGCGGCAGTTCAAGTCGCCACACTCCACTAGATGTAGGACACAAAGCAACAGAAGAAAGTGGGAGAAATGCATAATATAGACAGTAAACAGGGGTGTGAGACAAAGGTATAGTAATAACGGAGAACAAAACAGTTTAATTGGAGATCGTAAGTCACAAGGAGTGGATGCATCTGCAACAGCCATTGAGAACGATTTTGAGCCATGTCACCAATTGTTTCCAACCATTGGTTTTTACCATCCCGAGGACCCCAACCAGTCAGGAAGTCTACACCTTCCTACGTGGCTTAGACTAACTGTTGCAGATTTCATTGACTGGTAGAGCTATGTTTTCGTTTGACCGCCGCTAGCTGTTTTCCAGCCTGACCTTATATCAGCTAACATTGTCCGTCGAGGAAGGCGATGACTAGGCATACGTAACACATGTCCCAACCATCTCAGTCGACGTAATCGCACAGTCTCGTCGGATGATTTCCCCTCCCTTCTTACCTAGCATTCGACGCCTAACCTCAATATTGCCTAGCTTACCATACCACTTCACGCGGGAGATAGAACGCAGACACCTATGATCGAACACAGCTAATCTTTTCATGTCTTCTGCTCTCAATGGCCAGGTTTCACAGCCATAAAGGAGGACGGAGCGGACTGATGAGCAGTACACACGCCCTTTGGTCGATAACCAGTCGGATATCACATCTACGCCAGAGACGGCGTAAACTGGCATATGTGAAACTAGCCTGTATCCGTGCTGAGATTTTGTCAGCGATCAACCCATTGGGGCTGATGCAACTTCCTAAATAAGTGAAGCGGTCAACGTGCTCTACCACTTCACTTCCTGTTTCTAATCTAGGGGTCGATGAAGTCCAATCCTGCAACATCATCTTACATTTTACAGGGGCGAATCGCATGCCAAACATACGAAGATTGTTGCTCAAGGTGTTCAGTAGACTGCATTTTGTCAGCGTCCTCGCCTAGAAGGACTATATCACCTCATATTCTAAGTCAACGAGATTATTCCCTGGTAGCAAGTCAATCCCAGGAGTACAATATTTAGATAAGGATAGCAAGTTAATCGATAAGGTTGTGAGATTGCATCAGTTGTTTAATGGTTACAGTATGTGTTATACATTCGAAGCTATTGCGTTCTTTATCTAAACCATGATAACTGGGTTAGGCGTAAGTGTGAAGAGAGTTAAGAGGATGGTCAAGTGAAAACCTGTTATCAAAACTCATGAAATTTTCCATTCTGGTTTTGAGTCACATAGACAGAGAGAGAGAGAGAAAGAGAGGTGACGCATGTCTGAAAATGGTTATTAATGCCGCAAATGTATTCATTATGTGTGTTTTGCCAGATCCAATTAAATCCTCATTACTTTGTATGCAGTTTTTCGTTTCGCTGTAAATTACTCCTCTCGTTATACTTTGTGTGCACTTAATGCTTTTTTTATATGTATATGCCTACCTTTATGAAATGTGACAAGATGAATCAAAGCAAAGTTATGGTGAAGAGGGGAATAGGATATAAATGCATATTAGCCATTGCGGTTTATTTCCATCCAAGTATTTATCGACCTCATTCAACATCTATATGACAATGCCACGTGTCAGGTGAACTGATACACACCGAAAAATTCAGTAAAGCACTCGAAGTGAATACAGGAGTAAGATAAGACTGCCTATTATCACCTACGATGATATTCTTAATTGTAGTGGACTGGATTCTGCGGAACACTGTGTGTGAGGAACGAGAAAACAGGGATACGCTGGACCACCAGTAGAAAGACTACAAGATCTCGATTTCACGTGTGAATGATGTACGTCTGTCACACTAAATCGATGACTTACAGGCGGAAATCAACAAACTAGCTGAAGAAGCAGTCTCAGAAGACTGGACTCCAGATACAAATACAGCAGACGGAGGTGATGAATGTAGCCAACTAGCCGCAACAACAACAATAACCAGCACCAATCACCATCGCTGGGAGAGATTTGATCGAGGTTACTTCTTTCACTTATCCGGCTAGGATGCATCGTTTCAACTACAGACACACGGAACGGATGAAGATGTAAAAGCTGGCCAGCCAGAATCAGAAAGGCAAGGCAAGATACGCCTTCATCAACCTAAAACCAGATTGGAAATCTTCTGCACTCAGCCTCAGCATAAAGAACAAGATTCGTTTGGATTTTCAACACCAATGTCAAGTCAGTTAGTAGTCAGTGCTTCTTTACGGGTCAGAAACTTGCACTGCGATTCACAAAAAGGATTTGCAACAGGCTGTTGTAGAGGCTTATCAACAGCTGCCTACTTCTCTGGCTGTATACTGAAGATCAAATTGCTGGCTGGCCCGGAAGAATTAGCGATGAAAACTTCTGCAGTGGAACAAACCAACCAAGAGCCAATCGCTCAATAAATGTGTATAAGAGAATAGAGATGGGTTGATCGAGCATACGTTGAGGAGGCTGCGGAATGACATCGCGTGCAATGTAGGCCATGACTCGAGTGGAATCGCAATGAGAAGCAACGAGTGAGTCGTTGGTGCTAGGGTGACATGGAGTAGACCATGTTATGGGAATGAGATGAGAGATTATGGATAATCGTGTACCCAGCTGAGTAGGATGGCAGAAAAAAGAACATAGCGGAGATGTGTTGTTGAAGCGCTATGTTCCACTCGGAACCCAAGGGAATGATAATAATAAGTAACTGATGGTTTAGATAGTAAGTTCCTATGGTAACGTCAATCCAAGGTGGGCAATCTACACTTTCCTACAGTACTGAAGTCAGTATTCACTAACCGTATGAATTAATAACATGTCTTGTTCCGGTGATTATTCTATTCCCTCCAGTCCAATCTCGTTTTTCGCTAAAATATGACTTCAGAGCAGACGGTGATTAGACATCCGTAACACATGTTTCATTGACATCAACCATCTTATCTAGTACTCTCTAAGCCTAACTTCTAGATTGTTCATTAAGTGATTCTATGAAACAATAAAAATGATTGGTCTATCTTGGATAGGGTTTCTAATAATGTACCGAATACTTAACGGAATTTGCTGCATAATCAATTTCTCTTTCTTTGTCCAGCATCTTCAAGTAAAATATTAATTGTGAAAGTAGATCGTTTATTCCAAAATACTGTCTGACGACCCGAAGCGAAAACCCAATCTCTTATGATATTTTTCTCCTTTATCCCCTTCACAAGAAATATACGATATTTGGTTGAAATCCAGTTTTTTTAAAAAAAAAAGAAGTTCAGGAATACATTTTGAGACACAAGGAGATATAGCTGAATAGTTGAAGACTACAGACAGGTAGTTCTACTTCTCAGACACACAGCTATCTCATGTATTCGGGATATGTGATGCCATCCACGATTAGGCGTTTTCTCAAGTTTAGTAAAAACGTAAGAATCTCACCAGGCTGCAAGCATTTTAAATACTCGCGAGAGTAGAAAGTACCATTGAAGATCATATTTTAAATAGATTAAACCAAGATGAACAAGAGAAATTATATGCAGTATAATGAATACTATAGAGGTTTTTAGTAGCCCAAGTTTTATACAAACCGTTGGGTTATCATACTGAGATGGTAACGATTCTTAATTACCTGTAGTCATATTGATATTTCACAGGCATATTGTAGGACAAAGTGGATGCAGATGACATAGTTCTGTTAGGGGAGGATGCTGACAAAATGCAGAGTCTTCTGAACACCTTGAGCAGCAATCTTCGTATGTTTGGCATGCGATTCGCCCCTGTGAAATGTAAGATGCTGCTACAGGACTGGACCACTACAACTCCTAGCTTCGTGATAGGGAGTGAAGTGATAGAACATGTTGACCACTTCACCTGTTTGGGAAGTTGTATCAGCACAAACGGATTGATTGGTGACGAAATCTCAGCACGGATCTAAAAAGCTCGGACTGCTTTCGCTAACTTACACCATCTCTGGTGTAGGCGTGACATCCGGCTATCAACCAAGAGACGTGTGTACTGCTCATCAGTTCGCTCCGTCCTTCTCTATGGCTCTGAAACATGGCCAATACGAGTTGAGGACATGAAAAGTTTGACTTTTTGGTCATAGATGTCTACGATCTCTTTCTCACGTTAGGTGGCATAATAAGGTAAGTAATGTTGACGTTAGGTGTAAAGTGTTGGGCAAAGAGGGAAAATCAATCGAAGAGGCTATACAGTTACATAGATTGAGATGGCTAGGTCACGTGCTGCGCATGCCTAACCATCGCCTCCCCCGACGGACGGTCATTACCAGCTGATATAGGTGCAGGTTGGAAAAGAGTAAGTGGTGGCCAAACAAAAACATGGCATTAATCCATGAAATCCTTGACAGTTAAACTGAGTCAGGTAGGGAGATGCAGACTTCCAGGTTGGGGCCCACCCTCGGGACTCTAAGAATCAATGGCTGGAGACAATAGGTGACATGGCTCAAAATCGTTGTCAATGGCTTACGCAGATGTATTCAGTCTCTATAATCTTTCATATTCCTTTCTACTATTACTCATTCTGTTTCACTCTTATACTTGTCAAAACTCTATTGATTCTCTTCACTCATTTTCTTGTCTACTTTGTATGCTATTTGGAACGTGGCAACTCGAACTGGTGCACTTCGGTGCCAAGTTCTATGTTGAATCCAGCAGCAGCAGCAGGACAAAGTGGTTAATTTTGGAGACTGTTGAACAAGGATAATCAATATTAGATGGCTGGAGGCAGTCGGCCACAGGAAACCCTACCTGACCTAGGTTTCATGCTAGTTGGCACTCACCCGCCAGTCAGTAAGGCGTATTTGTAACCTTGAAGGAATTCATTTCCCTCCTTCTGAGATTCGAACCCGTGTCACCCAGAGCCGCCTGCAGTCAGAGACTTTACCATTGACCTCTTCGGACTGGTAATTGACTTCCTGTACGATTACTATATTGGATACTTTGATTGCACACTAAACTAGTGTCGTGTGTCTAGTCTTTTGTTTACTGTGTAGATACGCCTTGCTAACTGACTGACTGGTGATTGCCAACTAGCACGAAGTATAGGTGAAGCAAGGCATCCTGCCGATTGCCTCCAACCATTTATAATATCAATAATTCAAAGTGCACGGTGATGGCGAGCCAACTAGCTTGTTGGTGGTGATCACATTGCAAACTTGACACTGATGAAAGAATTCAGTCAGCGCCAAACAAATGACTAGACACATTGTAAAATACAAGTAATCCCAATTTTTCATTCGGTAAACTCTGGTATTACCTTCTTCTTCTTTACGAAAGTGATCAAAATTATAAATATCAAAGGTATATGCAAATGGAAGGTCGCAGTGTATCATATATCCATACACACGCACACCCAATCACCCACCCACCGACCCGTCTATTATTATTATTATTATTTCCTTTAATTCCAGAGGAACATAGGGCTTCAGCCGTGCGTCTCCATTGCATTCGGTTCTCTGCTAGAGTCTTCACCTGGCTCCAAGTCTGTCCACACGTTTTCATCTCCTCTTCACATGACCTCTTCCATGTCACCCTCGCACCGACAACCAACTCGCCGCTTCTCTTTCGGGTTCCACTCGAGCAATGGCTTGTCTAGTGATGTTACTTGATGGATTGTTTCCTCAGAGTATGGTCAGCCAATCCATCTCCATTTCTTCCTGCCTCTTTGTTTCACAATCTGTTCCTGCTGAATTGGTTCGCTCATTGCCAGAGATCTCTGTTGCTGATCTTTTCTGGCCGGCTGGCCATCTGATCTTGAGCGAACTATTGAGCGAAGACAACTGTTAATGAAGGTTTGTAGTCTAACCATATTTTATTTGTCATTCCACTCTCAGTTACATCAATCAGTTCAATTTGCCATGATACATTATATTAACTTCAATAGTTGTGAAAATTAACTCTCCTCTCTCAATTTTGTTCTTGTTTTCCTGTTAGGAAGAATTAAAGAAATGGGGTCTTATACCTAATTGGAAACGTGAACTAATTGAAAAGAAACAATTGAATAAAATGGTTTGTTTTAATTTCTTGTCTTATTTATTTTATGCGCAGTTCAAAAATGGAGATTAGTATTATTATCATTTTTGTTATTATTACACATTTGTTTGTGCTTTTCATTATCTTGTAATTTACTGGTTGTTCAGTTTATATTGGGTTGTTCAACTGATATGCATACCTATACACACATGTACACTAGATTGCTGATGTGAATTGAGGGTGATCTGGAAATCTAGGTCAGCTAGTGTGAACAATTAAAATAATCACTTTCTGACATACATGATTTATATATTTATTGAAATGCAAGCGAAAAGCAACAAGTTAGCAGAAGAAGCATCAAAGATAGGACTTCAGGTAAACATAGATAAAACAGAGGTGATGAAAATTCCTGGCCAACACCACCAACAGCAACAACAACAATTGACAACAATCAGCATAAATGGGAGGAACCTGAAAGAAACAACCTCTTTTACCTACCTGAGAAGCATCGTTTCAACTACAGGCGCACTGAACTGACGAGGATATCAAAGCAAGAATCGGAAAAGCAAGACAAGCTTTCACTACTCTCAAGTCTGTGTGGAGGTCAACAGCACTCCTCAGCATCAAAAATAAGATCCGGATTTTCAACTCCAATGTGAAGTCAGTGCTACTCACTATACGGATCAGAGACTTGCACTGCGCGTCATAAAGAGCATCTCAAACAAACTACAAACCTTCATTAACAGTTGTCTTCGCTCAATACCACTCAAGATCAGATGGTCGGTCAGAAAAGATCAGCAATAGGGACCCGTGGGAGCGAACCAACACAGCAGGGACCGATTGTGAAACAAATAGGCAGGAAGAAATGGAGATGGATTGGCTGGCCATACTCTGAGGAAACCATCAAGTGATATCACTAGACAAGCCATTGCTCGAGTGGAACCCGAATGAGTGGGAAGCGGCGAGTTGGTCGTCAGTGCAAGGGTGAGGGTGACTTGGAGGAGGTCATGTGAAGAGGAGATGAAAACGTGTGGACAGACTTGGAGCCAGGTGAAGACTCTAGCAGAGAACCGAACGCAATGGAGACGCACGGCTGAAGCCCTATGTTCCTGTAGGAATTAAAGGAAACAATAATAATAATATGCTTGGTAGGCATGAAAAGCATCAAAAGATGGGCCACATAAAATATCATAGTTTGTGCACACAAGGGTCGGGATATTGCTTCGATTTTTGAATTAGTTCTCGTCTTTGAGCAGCTGGTTGATTTAATTGCTGAGCTTTCATTGTCCACCTTTTAGACAACATCTTCAGTGTAGGTTTCATTATAAAATGAACTCATCTGAACTCTCCACCAATGAAATAATCGTGTCTCCTGGCAACCATCTTCGTGATTTACATCTCTATTGATCTATTTTTATTGACTTAGAACTTGAACTGTCCTGTTGCGTGATTTACTTTTTATTAGCTCGTAAAGTTTGTGTGTGTTAATATGTTTTTTCATCGCTGGCTGATTCATTTTTTTTATTATAGCTTGAAACGACACAGTAATTTTTGTACAAGTATGGAATTTTCAGCATGTAATATCCGTAGCCCAAATTTTGCAGGCCGACCATTGATGCGTCGGCAGGGGATCGAACCCCGGACCATGTGCATGGTCGGCGAGAGTCCTAACCGCTGTGCTACCGACGCATATGAGTTCAAGGTTTATACAAGTTCCCTGGTGGCACTATCTTTGGTGTTTCCTCTATTTAAAATTTCTACATTACCTAATCATCATCATCAAATTCATGTCCATAATTGTCTGCATGCATCAATATGAAATAGGAATACATATCGTGCCTTTTCACAGCTGACTTATCTTCTTGGATAACGATATGAAGGGGACGCCCACTTTGACCGATGTAAATAATTTTGTAAATGGTGTTAATCTTATCTTCTCTTTCTGTTGAATCTTTCGGTCTGCACTATATCGAATGAAGTGATTGTGTTGGCTGGCTGGCTTGTGTTGCTGTATCTATTTCAAACGGTCTTTCGAGTCGTTATTTCAGAGATATTCTTCATATATATATATATATATATATATATGATTTAATAGTGTGAAGTATTCCCATATCATGAATTAAAACTCAATCTGAACGAAGAATATTCTTTTCAATAATTTCTCCTCTTCACGCTCTTACAATTATAAAATATTATAATATTTGTTGTCATTACAATAATGATAGCCAGTTATGCAGCGGATACATTTTTTTTCAACGTAGAATAAGAGATTACCTATAGGATTCCAAAATAAATAGTTGTATTTGTGTGACAAGCGTGCTAGGCTGAAATCGATTACAAATTATTGTAAAATGAGAGACAACGATGGTGGTGATTAGTCATAATAGATTTGTAGAGTGTGGGGTAGGAAAATTGACAAGTCAGTTCAAGGTTATAAAAGGTGTCAGGTGAGTGGCATGTATTAAACAGGGGATAGTAAGGCTCCAATGTGAGGTTCATCATGAAATAACGAATGTGTGAAATGAAACAGGTGGAGGCCTATATTGAGAAAAGAGATAATATCACTACTCATAAGTCCGAATAGTATAAATGGAAAATTCGATAGTATTGAGAGAATGTTTGCATGAGGGGCATAAATTATGACGAATGATCAACTCGTAAAAATAAAACTAACCCTCACAAACCAAACTATAGAAAATTATTCTGATGCTCGCTAGTGACTTGCTACAGGATGGAGTTTCCTGGAGTTCTAATGAGAAGTCGTGACCAGTGAATTCCATCCAGATGTCACGTGTGAGGATGGATGTCCCACCTACGACAATGCTTGGGGTCGCGCTGAATCACGAATTGGTAGAAGTTAGAATTCATGGGCTAGCCATTGAATCGGGTCCCAGTGGCTGAATGGTCTACGAGCTCGCTTGCCTTGTAACCGGAAGGTCCTGGGTTCGAACCCCAGTGGGTGCATACTGCCGATGATTCCCAAAAACCAGGATGAAACAGCTGTCCATTACTCCTTGCTAGTTTTCAATGGTTCTCTAACTGATATCTATCCGTGATAAACTCGTAAGAATAGAAATAATAATAATAATAATAGGCAAAGAAAGGAAAAAAATCAAGAGGGTTATATATATTGTAGAATGAATTTTCTTGTAGCCTTTGGTGATGGTGTGTTGTTGGTATTACTATTTAAATTTAAACACTTTTTGATGAAATTGTGTGGGTAATCATTCTTCTCTTTTCAGACAGCTAGTAAGTATTTTTCCTCCATTCTCTTCATCACCGGAGTGCTACAGTGTGTTTGGACTGTCTCTTAAACAATGTCTGCACATAGTCTCTTTTGTGGGTAATTGGGTTATTCCTTTTATGGTTGAGTATTTGGTATGTGTGTGCGTTGGTTTTCTGCATACTTCTGTTTCTGAATTTCCTTTGTTCGTTCTCTTGATTAAGTAAGACATCTATCTGGGAATGGAATTTTGTTGTCTGATTTATTCTTCTCTTGTGAATTTAATAAGAATGATCAATAGTCACATAGATTGACAATAAATCAAGACATACTATTAAGTACCATTCATAGAGAATTTGAATAAGTCCACCACCGCCGCATTTGATTTGAAATATGATCCACAAATCAGTGAAGCAGTGTCAGCAACTACGTCTCTATGGTTGGTGATGACTGAAACAGTTCCACACGCCATTCGATTTGTTCGAAATCTGGAGCCGATGTACACCACAAGTTTAGAATCAGAGTTTTCCAACTTCCCCTGGGTAGAATTCCATGTCCACCAGTCCGGTTATCAGCTCCAGACGTCCTCATTCACCCTTCCTTTTTTTGTAAGGAACACTGATACCTGGGCAACTGATGGTTGGATTGATGACACAAGCTTACTGGTATCTACCTACGTCTTATAACACTGGTCACCGATTTAATTTACTTTTTTCTTCTTCATTGTGAAGTTGTTGCTTTTTAAGCTTAGACGCTTAAGCTTTAAACTAATGAATCCCAGGAACTCAAAGACAATTCCGTTTACTACGATTACGACAATCAAATATTACCACATAATAAGTGTTACTCATAGCTTATTTTGTAAAAAGATGAATCTATTGAGTAATTGAAGCTGCAAGTTCTCTGATGCTTCTTACATTGTTGTAGTTGCATAGTAGTAGTAGTAGTTTGGCGAGGGCTGCTGATAAGATTTATCAATAGTATATATAAAGAGAAGTTCATCGGCATAAAAACATCAATTATCAAGGAGATACATTTGATGTCTGAGAAAGCAAATGGTACAGCGTTGTAGAGGTACATAGGAGACGTGAAAGAAATACAATATGAGGGCCAGAAATACCACACAACAGAAGATTTGTGCAAGTGGTGCGTTGAAGATAAGGTGTACATAATTTCTCTATATAGAGAGATACCTAATTGCCGATAAACATTCCTTTATCAAGTCTCTCGTCTTCTACCGTTACATTAGTAGTACTTTGTGTTATTACAACAGGCTTGTATGTCTCTTTCATATTCACAAAATAGCAAAATATTAAATTGTTGAAAGTCAAATCAGAAGGGAGAAATAAATTAAATTAACTTCATCTGAAGTATTATGACTTTTGAGTTGATTATTATGAACAGTTTATTCTTTTACTTGAAAGTAACTAGCAGGTATCATTGAGAAACAGATTGACTTAGAATTGTACGAAAAAATTCACCTGTGCCCTAGTCGTTTTTGTTATCAGTTTAGGAAGATATTGTCAATAAAATGTGAAGTAGTATGTAACTGTTGTTGTCCCCTTTTTCAGCTCAATATTACCAACAATAGGTCCCTTTTCTATGGGACTTTTTCTCCTAAATTATTAGAATAACGAAGTTGAAACGATCTGGAGTAGTTCAACCTCTTCTCTTAAAATTTTATCAATTCATGTATTCCGCCCCATTCGTCTTCTTTATTGTTCGCCCTTATTCTTCACTGAACTTTTAAAAAAAAGACTATATCTCATTATATTGTGTAGAACACTGAAGGCTGTAAGTAGAGTTAGTGGTG